CCAGTCAAAAGGCGCCCATCATTTCTTAGAAGAAGGGATGGCCGTTCAGACTCCGGCCCGTTCTTCGACTGCGGCAGGCCGGATGTTCGAGAGAGTCCAGTCAAAAGGCGCCCATCATTTTCTAGAGAGAGGGAGGGCCGTTTTGACTGCGGTGGGCCGGATGTTCGAAAGGCAATACTTCCACTAAAGGATTGCTAGAAGGGCTACATGCCAGCGCTCTGCTAAGACTTTGATCTTGCAAGCAAGGTCTTTCCCCTCTCGCAACCTTGTTCGGGTTGTCGGAGCGTTGCAACACATCCCTTTGGTAAATGGGTCAGTCAAAAGTCGCCTATCATATTTTAGAAAGATGGCGGCGACTTTTAACGGTAGTACCTCAGTTTGTTAGATCCGAAAGAAGGATAGCAGTTTATGCACGCTCGCTTCGAGCAGCTTGCTTGCAAAGTCTGGCGTGTTAGAGGCGGGCACCTGATTGCTTGCATTGTCTCGAGTTGGTCCACGGAGACTCGGAGAGCGGGCTTCGAACCCCTCCGATCGGCATCCACAAGCTCAATTTCGGCTTCCGCTTCGACTCGCATCTCTTATTTCGACAAGATCTTGGCTGAAATATCAACCCTTTTGTTTTGATTGTAGTAGTATCGGAAAGCGGCTAACATCTTGAGAAGATTACGGGCGCATGTTTCAAAGACAGTGTTGATTCATCACAAGATTCTAGCGAGACGGGCTAGAAATGCATATAGATTTGCCGAGTGCCGAGGATAGTACAAAGGGAGTAAACAGATGGCTAAGCTGCAGTGGTTGCAACATGGGTCAAATATGTACAAGTATTGCAAGCGACTTCAATATGCAATGCGGCAGTACCATACGTTTATACAATGGAGCCGCATCCGTTCTAGCGGATCTCTCAGCGGATTATTGCGGCAGACCACTCCTCACTTTCTACATTTCAATTGCTTTGCAGCTTGTCAATAATTATACCTGGGCTTGCTCAATCGGACTACAAATCTCCACTGGACATCCAACCTGAGCACGTGCCGCAATCGGCTTCGGAGCGCCTTGCCCCTGCACAACATGGGATGGATCAGGCGAGCGCAACAGGTATACACTTTTATTACAAGCTCACTCTTCGAGAAAATGACGCAAGACGGCAGAATTCGGGTCAACCTAGGCCTGCTATGCATCAATACCCTCATTCTACGATTTGTGATAAGCAGCACATGATTGTCGGAAAAAGGAGCATATCTTTCTAAGGATTGTGCAAGGCGCAAAGACTTACCCGTTTCAGACCAACGAGCGGCTTACCTGCTTAAGTGATTGCAGTGTGGATGCAGTCTCCTCCTCTGATTCTTGCGAAAGAATTACGTGACGATGCTTTATCTCAAGCTCTTGGCCTATTGGTACGACCCCACCAACGTCCTCCGCAAGCGGATCATCTTTTGACTCTGAGCCGCACTGATCTTCCCGTTCGGGTGACTGAGAGAAAAGGACGCAACAAACCGATTTAGAGCGCGTGAAAAAAGCTCACCGATGATCAGCGCCAATGATCGATTGTAACGA